TTCATTGTCTAATGTTACGCAGCCAGGACAGTTGTTTTCTTCCGACCCAACGTTTTCCCTCGATTTTGCCCTGAATGATTAACCGGAGTAAGCGACATTTAGGTCATCTCATTATATGACCGAAGTATTGGACCTTTCTCATTTTGATGATGTTGATCAATTCTCGCTCTTTGTGCACGGTCTCTAGCACACGTTCGTTAGATATGAATATGAACTTCAAAAATCGCTAAATATTTGAATTGGGCTGACAGATATAGTAGTTAGTTTTTCCCACAGTTCATATCAGATCACGGCTTCTTTAGGACCTACTTGGAAAAGATAGGGAAGGTTACGGATAAAAAATGCACATGCTGTAGAGTGGCTGATACAGCCAAGTACTGTGTTTTCGAGTACAAAATATGCAACAAGGACAGGAACAAATCACATAGGAGGGTAGGTAGGGTAAGTGAAAATACCATAATGTAGGTAGCAATGAGGGGACAGACTGTACACAAGGAAATAGTGGAGGCAGTAACTTAAATTGTTAGATATATTAGAAAAAAATCTACAGTAACGATAAGAGAGAAATAGTGTAAGAGATAGAGAGGTAACTAGAATACGGGCAATTCATCTAATCCTCTGATCTAGAAAGGACCTACTGCATGAGTAGTCTGGATGAGGGGATGAACTTAAGTTAGTAGGCAGGGAGCTATGAGTGTACCTGTAAACATGACTTCTTTGAAAGAACTGCGTTCGGATTAGCTCTTATACTCTGCCTCTAACAAGCGCCAGGTCATCCTTATTGGTATATATCCTGGTATGGTATTTAGAATATTTACCACATCCTTCCCATTAAAAATACCTTACGTATAAAAAAAATTAAATTAGTTGAACTAGAAGCAAAGAAAAACAAATAGATATCAATAAATGATATATAATAAACAAACTTAGAGTGAAAAGCAAAAGAATTCAGTTCATCTAGACAATCTTAAGAAACATCCTCGAATAAGAGGATATATATGCAACCTCTAGCTTTAGTATATAATTTTCAATTTTGATTTCTATTTTCATTGTAATATTTACACCCCAATTTCTATAAAACTATTCTTGCGAGAAAGCTCGGTAGAAATAAGGTAAATGTTAGCTTAGACTTTCAATTGCTCCACATTTACATTTTAAAGGTAATCCTTCCCATTTTAATGCCCGATAGATGGAAATAAAATTTAAATGGAATCGGAAAACTAGCACCGGAAATGTCTGATTGGCTGTCGCAATACTCGAGAACAAAGACTCAATTATACGATTAGAATAATTCCGCGAATAAAGTATGTATTATAGAAGTGGAAGGGATCGGAATGAACCGATTCATCAGTAACGGTTTCGGAATGGGAACCTATACAGAAAAAAATAAAATTATACAAATTGCTACTTTCAATTGCTAATTCAATTGTCTTTATAAACAAAATAAAAATAACAAATAATCCTTTAAAAACTACTTCTCGTCTTTAATTAATACCTTGTATTACCTTCACGAGCCTGTATAACGGTGGTTCTTCTGGGCATACTGTTAATTAAATTTAAAACTCCTTTCTGTAAAATTGCTTTCCATTCTTCTAAATTAGTAATATCAACCTTATTTCAGTATTTTTTGACAATGTGGGTGACATTAGGGTGTGCATTTTCATGCGCAGTGTGAAGTTTTCTCCAATAAATGATACATATGAGAGAACATATTGATGCTAGTATCTTATTTTTGTACCTATAACTGGTCAGAGATCCCCTAGATAACGTACAATCCTGTATGCGCCTCCAAAGATATATACCAGCTTACACCATAACTGAATCTTCTTGAAAACTTAATCTATTGCTTAAAGTGTACTCGGCATATCGTTTACCATTTCTTCTTACAGATTATTTCGCGACCATCCGATAAATGTAGACAAAATCTGGACTCATTGGTAAACATTACATTTCTCCAGTTTTCCAGCCGTGAATTGCATTTCAATCGCGATCTTCCTTCTTCTCTTCTTAGAGTGTCGTCTTTCTACGGAGGTTGGCAATTATAATGGCTATTTTTATTTTAAAACTTGCTGCTCTAACCAAATCAATCGATCTGCATTGATACCAATCACGTAGATTCTTTAACCATGAGTTCTGCCTTCGGCCAACAGATCTTCTTCTTTGAATCTTGCCCTGTATTATGAGTCCCAAAATTTCATATTTTGGACCCCTCATCACGTGGCTTAGGTATTCCAGTTTTGCCATTTTTGAGGCATCTTCTGTGGATGCGATCTGGGCCAGGAGATGTGTTTTTACCTAAGTTATACATCTGCCTGACGGTGTCCTCAGTCAAAGGTGCCATCATTGGGTGAGGATGTGGTCCATCATGTGCCTGAGGATAATAGAATATATCTTCCACTCCTCATTCGGCGGCTCTTTTGAATCTTTCGCAGAAGTTGGGGCTGTTAGGGAAAATGAGGGTGGCCTGTAATGTATTTTTGAAAGCTTTGGCCTTATTTTGTGGATTATTTAGTATGCCGTTATTTACCCCTCATTATAAATAACGGCATACTAGACAAACCAGTAATATAAAGGCTACTGGAAACGGCAGAGATGGGAGTATTGAACATAATTACAGAAAATACGCTGAGAGATCCAAAGAAAAGTGAAGACATTAGAAGAAAACGTAACGAGTATATATTCAGGGATTCTACAGTATTCACGGCCTTCCCTAGCTCAACCGTTTCCATCTCTTATTGTTGACCAATTATTCCTCGTTTTGGTCTCTCTTACTCATGGCTTCGTCTACTTCGTTTCTCCAGGATCTTCGGGGTCGTCCTCTTTTCCTCCTTCCTATGGAGCTCCATTCGGTTATTCTCTTTATCCATCTGCTGTCGCTAGTTCTTCTTGCATGTAAAGCTTCTTACAGAAAATGTAACGTACAGTGTATAAATGAATGGAGGAGACCCGTGTCGTCAAAATGGCAAGAGATAAGTCACCAATCGGCAGAAGAAATATGGGACGACCGTGCAAAAGATGGAGTATGGAGATAGAGTAAACCTTCTATAGAGGTATTAATCCGACAATAAACAAGCAGAATTGCTTATAAAGAGAAAGAAGAAGAAGAAAGAAGATTAACCTTCATATATTTCGAGAAGTCATTTGATTATATAGATCCCAAGGTAAGTATAGAAGCTTTGACTAACCAAGGCATTGACAAACCGTACATAAACACTTTATCATACGTTTTTTTTACATAAAAGAAATCCAGTGAAGTAAGGTCTAGCGACCTAGTTGGTTATTATGTTAAGACCCTGTTTCAAATCGATTGATTTTAAAATATTTCGTTTAAATAATTACTAATGGTCGCATCATATTGAGTATCTAGCTCCGTCTTGTTGATACCACAAAGCTTCATTTGGGATGTTTGGATAGCTAAATATTTTTCACCAGGGAGATTTTCGTGTACGAAAATTGAACCGATAATTGTTAGGTCAATAATTCTTGCCCATACATTAATCTTTTAAGATAATTGGGAAGGGGCTTTCGTTATTTTCTGAGATTTTTTCGTACCCAATATCGACAGTTTTTTTTTTATTTATGGTGCCATTTATATCAAATGAGGATACGTCTTAAACAATGATATTGTAAACAAAAAACGAATATTTATTAAATCACTGCAATATTTTTTCGCACAACATTCCAATCCTCTATCTGAGTCATATCCGTTTAATACTTGCAATAAATTTATTTTGTAAGGATGCCATTTGCTTTTTATGTACTTATGGAGGCTAATGTTCTAGAGCTGACATGTACATTCTAGTTGTTAATTTTTTGTGGTACTCTTCGTCGCCCAAAAACACGATTTGTAATATTTTCAAATTAACTTAATTTTTAATTGTTTGTTACTGATTAGGTATATAAATATTTTGTTGTAAGATACAATACTTTTAACAATAAATACACCTACATTTTAAAAACTAAATATATGCCTTCCTGATACAGAAAAATCGATTTTTTGCAAAGAGTCAATACGAATAAAACCGAATCAATAAAAGTAACTCATTCAGAGCTCTAGTATAAAGCTGGAATAAAATTTGGTTGATTATTCTTTGAAAAGCAGCTTCAGAACAGGAATAATGAAGTCGTTTAAATGTATAACCGAGTTTTAACATAATTACTGTGGATAAGTTAAATTGTGTCTCTTGATTTGCTTTAACAATATTATGTGTATTCAAGTTTTAATAAAATACACTACATTTACTGACAACTGTTTTATATATGGACTTTTTCAGCGTAAAATAGGTTCATCAAAAGTTTTTAATTTTGTGTCTGCTTAATGTTTTTTTATTTGTTGCTCTTTATCTTCTTTTTTAAATGCTTTCTGAAGTTGTCAAGTGTACTGAAGAACATTAAGATATATCAAGTAATAAAAAAATCATAAATTTAAATCTAAGTCTCAATTTGCAATTCTGCGTCTTTTGCAGAATTTAATTAATTGTTCAATATTTTATTTTAAACAACATTTATAATTTTAAAACGGTACTGCAACAAAAGAAAAACGAATTAAATACTGAACGGCATTAATAAACGTAATTTAAACAGTTGTCTATCTGGCAGTTTTTTTTTTCTGAATAACTGCTCATAATCTGTCAAAAAAATTATAGTCAAATGATAGTTATCTTTAAAAACTCATTTTGAAATGATATAGTAACAGTATGTAATAATAAATTTTTATCATATGGCGCTCAACGTGGGGTTGCAAAGCTGTACTGATTTTTAAAGTTACTTATCTGGGAAGTTTTTTTTGTTTTAGTAAGTGTGAATTTATAAAAAACTTATGTTTTTAGTAAATATATATATATATATATATATATATATATATATATGTTTTTAGTAAATATATATATATATATATATATATATATATATATATATATATATATATATGTTTTTAGTAAATATATATATATATATATATATATATATATATATATATATATATATATATATATATAATATATATATATATATATATATATATATATATATATGGTTCTTGAACTCCTAAGTGGAGTATAGAGCTTCAGTGAAAACGAGCCATCGGGTTCTATTTTGCACTAAGGCCTTCACCTCATTCCAAGACTTTTCTTGGCCTCTTATCTCATCCATGATGGATCTTCTCCAAGTTTGTACTAAGCGACCTCTTTTTCTTTTCCCTTGGGGATTCCACTCTGGGGCAGTCTTTCCGATACTTCACCTATTTTTTCGGAGTTTGTGACCGATCCAACCCCACTTTCTGGACTTAATTTCATTTTGTAACCTCTTTTGTTCGGTCAGGTGTAGCAGATCTTCATTTCTGATGGTGTTAGGCCACTGATGGTATATACGGACAATTTTTCGTAGACATTTGTTAACAAAGACCTGCAGTTTGTCTGTGAGGGTGTTTGTCACTTTCCAGGTTTCACATCCATAGAGTAGAACAGACATGACATTTGATCGGAATATTCAGATCTTTGTCCTTGCAGTATACCCACCATATCTCCAAACAGGGTTGGCGTGCTAAAAAGCTTGTTGGTCTTTTCGTATCCTCATACGAATATCGTCTTTTGTACCTCCGTTTCCTATTATGACACTTCCAAGATACGTAAAGTTTTCCACATTTTCAATCTGCATATTGTCGTTAGTAAATAGCGTGTTGTTCTTTGTATTTATTCTCATGGACTTGGTTTTACTAATATTGATTTTCAAACCTATTTTATTGGCTACAGTAGAAAGTGTTTCCAATTGGTAAGCTAGATCTTGGAATCTTTGACCTAATAGGCAGATATCGTCCGCGTATTCTAGATTGCCTAGGCGTGTGGTTAACGTCCATTGTATCCCTCTTGTGTCGGAGTCTAATTTGGAGAGAACATAGTCTATAGTTATGTTAAAAAGTAACGGAGAAAGCACGCATCCCTGTCTAACTCCAGTAAGTACGTCGAATTCGTCACAGTTGATACCATTGTGTGTCATGCTGCATATCGCATCAGTATATAGTGACTTTATAATAGAAATTATTTTTTGCGATATGTTTCTTAGCTCTAAAATTTTTCATACAGCAGCATGAGACAAGCTGTCAAAGGCACGTTCGAAATCAATAAAAATCATGTATAGGGGTGTGTTCCATTCAACCGATTATTCCATTATTACTCTTACAGTATTGTTGTGGTTTATGCAGTTGGATTCTAGTCTAAAGCCGGCTTGATTAGCTCGAAACTCAACTTTGTTTGTTAATCTTTTCAGTATGATGGTCGTGAAAATTTTATTTATGACCGTAAGCAAGGTTATTCCTCTCCAATTTTTGCACAGTGTGAGGTTGCCTTTTTTGGAAGCTTGATAATGTTACCTTTTTTCCAGCCTGCTGGAATGTGGTTTGTTTCCCATACCTCTCGGATTATGGGGAGCAAAAGTTCAGCAGTTAGATGCGGATCAGCTTTAAGTATTTCAGCAGCAATGTTATCGATTCCCGGTGACTTGTTTCTCAGAGATTTGATAGCTGTCATGATCTCCGCTTTGAAGGGGGCCTCGCAAGAAATATGCAAGTCTATATTCTGCGGGTTTTCGACAATTTCATCTACGTTATCTCTGGGAATACCTAGCATCTCCTGAAAATGCTCTTTCCATCTCTCTACTTGGTCATCTGTTGTAGTAAGTAATTCGCCTGTCTTGGATCTTACAATGTTTAAACAGTTGGACCCATTTTTTGTTAGTCGTCTAGTAATTTGGTAAAGCTCCCTAGTTCTATTGTGTTGTGCAGAGCTGTTTCTGCTAGTTTTACTAGTTCCTCGGCTTACCTTCTTTTGTCCCTTCTTGCTTTTCCTTTAACTGATTTATTTATTGTTTGATATTCCTGTTGTCGGTGTGCTCTTCTTTCTACAGTTCTTGCTTGCAGGATATCTTTTTTTCGTTGTTTTCTTTCCTCTATAAGATTCCATGTTTAATCTGATATCCATTTTTTTCTATCTTTCTCTTTTTTACCTTGTTTGTTTTCAGCTATTTCTGTCAAAACAACTGCGAAATCTTCCAATATGTTATGAAATATACATAATATTTCATATTTATCAATAAAATAGCTGACGAAATAACTGCGTTAGTGCTAACAATTTAAGATTTCCATTTAGGTGGTTAGCTTAGAAAAAATGGGGCACATTATGTAAAAAATGGTTACTACATTTTCGCTAATTAACTGTCTGTCTACAATAATTTGCATTGTTTTAGGAACAATGCAGTAGGATTTGAGGAGAAAACTAATAATAATGCCAAAATATATAAATAAATGGTTAAATAACCATTTTTAATATTTAAATCAATTTAAAAGAGTGAATACTTATACAGATAGGAAAATATTGTAAATACACAAAATATTTTACAGCAAAATAGATTTAACAAACATGTTTTAAACACGATGTTTTGTTATACATTTTGTTATACAAATCTTTCGTTTCTCAGTCATGATAGGCAAATTATTTCAAAAGTTTTTTTTTTTATCTTAAATAACCGCATTTGTTTCAATACGTTGTCACGATTCTTTTTTTAAATCGTCTTGGTTTAGGTAATGATGGGGATAGATGTCTTGTAATACAAACACTTTTTTTCTGACAAAGTGTACCTGAAGCATGTTAGCCAAGTATTCACGATTGGATCTTTTTCAATTTAATTTGTGGGGTATACTAATTCTTTGATAAAAATATTGATAAAAATATTGAAATATTCATTTGTTTCACTGCTACAGATTTTCTTGAAGTCTGGACCACATTGCAAAAGTTTTGAAAGTCATAAGTTTTACCTTGTTTTCTTAGAAATTGTTTCACATTATGATGAAAGCTATCTGCCTACATAAATGTATGGTCAGATTCAAAGTAGTTGAGGGTGATGGTTTCAGAATTAATTTTAGGATAATTTACAATTATTACAAGAAAACTATACAAACACCAGTTTTTATTTTGACTGGAACAATTATCAAGTCAGATTACTATCGCCCTCCTTTTTCGAGCACTGATTTCCTCATGCCATACAACGGCAAACGGTGTTCACGCATTTTAACTTCCTAATAGAACAAAACTCTACGCAAACAAGACCTTTTTAGAGGTTTTTAAACGTGGAAACATTTATGAAACATCTTCTGCAAGTCTGCAGAAGTTTCAGGGTTAGAGCTCTGATTTTGATAAAGGTATTAAGACTAATCTGAAGCATTTATACGTTTTTCCATGCACAAAAGTTTTCGCAATATTCCTGAAAGGTCTTGTTGGAATATCCGTGTATCCGTGTAGTTTAAAACCCTCACACGTTTCGCATTCTGCATTTCCAAGCTTATTAAATGAAATATTTTTTAGCTTTACTTCACAATGGTATATGTTGTATGATACTGGAATGAAAGGATGCTTTTCTATAAAATCTTGATGCATGAAAGTGATGTTAAGGTCGTGGCATATTATCATACACTTTGCGTTTCCGGTACATAACGTTTCGGGTCGAGCAAACGGACTGCTCGTTCACATTTTCATACATAGAACGTTTCAGTTTGATGCGGTTTGGACTGCGCGTTCACATTTTCATACATACAACGTTTCAGTTTGATGCGGTAAAGATGTGTTATCGCTTTTCGCGTCAAAAATTATGTGCAATTGCGCTTCTACTTGATGATGAAGAAAGAAAAACTAGTAAAAAGAAGGTTTGGAGTACATCCAATGTTAAGAGAAAGGAAAAAGGAAGGTGAATACTGGACTTTATACAAAGAATTAATTCATGACGATGAAGAATATTATAGATATTTTAGAATGAATAGGGTTTAGTTTGAATATATTTTAAATTTAATTACAGCTTTAGTTAAAAAACAAAATACTACATTTAAAGAAGCCATAACACCTAAAAAAAAATTAGCTGTGTGTTTAAGGTAAGTTAAAGCAAAACTTTCTATTAACAAAATTAACTCATTTATTTCTTAAAAATAAAGTATGAACAAACGAATCCTACTTAAAAAAATTAATATTAGCAACATAAATTTTTATATACAGGGTGTCCCAGAAGTAGCGGACCGGTCAAATATTTTGCGAAATGAACATCGGATCGAAAAACTGAAAAATACGTTATTCAATCATTTTCAAAAATCTATCGAATGAGACCAAAAACGACTCCATACTCTACCCCTAGAGGTGAGGTGGGGACTACCTTTAAAATCTTAAAAAAGAGAAACCCCCATTCGTTATTGCAGATTTGTATTCCTCATGAAATATAAGTAACATTTATTGGAAACATTTTTTAGAATTGTTTATAAATGGCGCTATAATCGAAAAAATACAATTCACCAGCGCCATCTATCAACAATTCTAAAAAATATTTCGAATAAATAATATTTATTCTTTCACAAGGAATCCAAAACTGCAATAAAAAACGGGGGTTGATACTTAAGAATTAAGAGCCCACCTCCAGCGTCTGGAGTGGGGTTTGTTGTCATTCGATAGATTTTTGGAAATGATTGAAAACGTCTCTTTCAGTTTTTCGATCAAATGTTCATTTCGCGTAATATTGGACCGTTCCGCTGCTTTTGGGACACCCTCTGTAATTAAAAAAACATCAGTCGTTTTGAGAGGGGGGTAGGTCGATTGCCTCCATCGCCCTTTCCTGGATCCGCCACCGCATGCTTTCGTTATCAAAAACCAAATTCTCTGAAACATATTCATTAGAATTTCTGATATTGGATGCTGCAGATGTCTTTGTTGATGTTGAACATTCCGATGTCTGAGATGAATGCATTGGCGTAATCGGGGCTGAATTATTTTTGTTAAGCTGGTCACTATAGGCAGAATAGTTACCCGGATAGATGTATGGATTTCTTATCGCAGGTGGATTAGGATGAGTAATAGATTGTAGTTTTATCTCCCCGACAATTGAAGAAACTCTTGCTTTTGTCAGTGCTCTGTAATATGGTGGCATCTTTTTTACAGTTTGGGCCAAACCATAAAAAAGCGCTTCAACTTCGTCTTTTTCTTCGGATTTTAGGAGATAATCCATAACCACAGATGCAGCAGTACTTTCATCATTTTTTTTCTTTGGCAATTGCGGAGTTTCAAATACACTTCTTTTTGGGGCTTGTTTTTCGTAGGACACCTCAACATTTAAAGATTTTTTTTAGTCTCTACTATCTCTGAGTCGGCCTCAGCTTCAACTTGCGACTCTTCTTGTTCGGGACTTTCGATTGTAGAAATGGTAGACCTATCTTGAAGGAAAGGAAGAAGGAAGTTCATTTCTTCTTCAAACTTCCATTTTTTTGTTATAATTGCGACCTGGCCACTCTTTGTTTTTCGCTTTTTTTGCTGTCGCCTATACGCATCTCTAAGGGAATTCCATTGGAATTCCATTATGGATGTTACAAATGCAATTATTTATACTATGAAATCAGAATGTATTCCTGTCTCAAGACTTTTGGGAATTGTAGAATTTCCCTAATTGCATTGGGGCAATCGATGGGAAACATGTTCAAATAATTGCTCCAGCACATAGTGGTTCATTATTTTTTAATTATAAGAAAACTTTTTCCATAAATCTAATGGCATTGGTGAATGCTAGGTATAAGTTCATTGCTGTAGACATAGGCAACTATGGCAAGAATAGTGACGGAAGCATTTTTCATAATT